TTTTATGCTTATTTATTATTTTATGTAAAAAGAAGTTAAAAATCACATTTGGCTCTTTCTTTGTACCACTGTTTTGTTGCTGTTGTGGGAATGCAGCAAAAGGTTGCTCATACTTTTTATTATTATTAGGTAAAACCCCACATACAATACACTCCAGCTATTGGCCATGTGATAATGCCGTGTTCAGAAAATGAAAGGTTTTTTTCCTCCATTGCCATTTTCTAACTCATACATGCAGTCCACACCTCATCTTATGTGTAGTATATGTACCATTGTGTCACCGTTTTATTTAGTTAGCCTTTTTCTTGTAATGACAGCAAACAGTAGAAATGACCGCATATGTGAAAAATTTGCCTTTCCTCTAAGTTAGAGAAAATGGTGATTAAAATATTCTAAACATCACAAATTGATATTCAGTTTTTCAGCAAATCGCTTGGAACACTCTCCTACTCATACAATATTTAATCTTAAAAAGCAAAAGTAATTTTAGTTCATTTGGTCACATGTATGTATACAGGAAATTAGTTTAATTTTACACTCTCCAAAATCTCACCCTTTCCTTGAAAGTATCAAATTCTGATATAATAAAAAATATCTGATGAGTCTCTGTGTTTTGGCATAAATAAATATAATTTATTTATAAATGTATAAAATGATGTATAGCATGAGTTAATTTGTTAAAACTTACTATTCTTGATCTTAGTTCTATACATGCCCTTAATAATATACATTTTCATCATAGTACTCCTAATCTTTAATGATAGTGAAGTTTTTACCCTAGTGGTACTCTCCAGTCTGGGAAGTGTTGGAGGAGGACCTGGACTACCCCTCCACACCAGACATTTTTGAGACTGTACAGGACTTAATTGCCATGATGGCACTGTCCCTGGCCTCCTATTCCTGTGCACTGGCTCAGGTGCAAGTGGTGCAAGAACTGGCTGCTGCATCTCTTCTGGCATTGGCACTGATGGCAGCACCTCCTATCCAGCACTGGGGCAAGCACACCATGATGCGGCACCTTTCCCCATTGCCACGGTACCGCTCTTCGGCACTGTCAGGATATGCTCCTCCTTGGTCGGGCTTGGATTACTCATTGGAGTCAGAGGCAGAGTTGTATGTGTCCTGGCAGAGCTGATACCAGTCAAGATCACCAATGGCTAGGGGAGTAGAGCCGCATTACTTTGTCCCTCAGAAGCGGTATGAGGACTTCTTCACCCACACCCTCACCCGGGACCTTGGTGGTCGACACATCAAACCACAAGGAGCGGCAGGGGCAGCCGAGGCCCGCCCCTAAGAATAAAGATGCTAAGAAGCTGGACCTCTGGATGAAAAGTGTACTCGACTGGGGGGTTCCAGCTTCGAATTTCCAACCAGCAGTTGGTACTTAGCTGCTATGTGTACAACTCGTGGAATGCTCTCTCTAAATTTCAGGAGGTGCTTCTGTCAGAATCCCGACAGGAATTTGCTGCAGTCCTGGAAGAGGGCAGGGTGGTGGCTAGAACCTCCCTCCAGGCTGCTCTGACTCCGCCAACTCGGCAGTGCTAACCATGGCTATGGGCATCACAATGAGGCATAGCTCATGGTTACAGGTCTCGGGACTCCCGGCGGAGATCCAGAACACCATACAGGACCTCTCATTTGACTGTGAGGGGCTGTTCACTGACAAGATGGACTCGAGACTGCACAGGCTCAAGGACTTGCGAGCAACCCTCAAGTCTCTGGGAATTCACACACAAGCACCCCAAAGAAAACCCTTCAAGCCTCATCTCCTCTCACGATTCTATCCAGGTCCCCCCAGGCAGGACTATAATCGAAGGAGGGGCAAAAAACAACAGGAGGCATCCCCCACAGTCCTCCGGCCCGTGTTGGCTCCTCCAAGCAGCCCCCTGGCTCTAAGCTGAATTTTTGAAGGTGTGCCCAGGGATGGAGCGCTGGCCCAAATCCTGGATTTTTGCCCTCCCTTTGTGAATAGTCTGTCCCACTTCTGCCATGCCTGGGCCCAGATTACTTCAGATTGCTGGGTCCTGAGCACAGTAGGGGTGGGATATTCTATCCAATTCTGTGCCCTCCCACCAGCCTTCCCCGTCCCTCTTCAGGGAGCCCTCTCATGAGCAAATTTTGCTACAGGAGGTGCAATCGCTCCTCGTGCTGGGAGTAATAGAGGAGGTTCCTCAGGAGTTCAGGGGTAGGGGGCTCTGCTCCCAATATTTCCTCATCCCGACGGACAAGGGTGGGCTCAGGCCTATCCTGGATCTGTGAAACTTCAACATGTTTATAAGAAAGCTGAAGTTTCTTATGGTCTCTCTGGCCACCATCATTCCTTCCCTGGATCTGGGGGACTGGTACGCCGCCCTCAACTTGAAGGACGCGTACTTTCATATATCAATTATTCTGGCACACAGGAGATTCCTGAGATCCATAGTCAGCGGCCTGCACTATCGGTTCACTCTACGAACTATTTTCAGCAGCCTGGGGCTCATTCTGAATGTGTCTAAGTCAGTGTTGGGCAACCTGCGGCCCATGTCGCTAGACAGTTTGTTTACATTTGCACAGTTGCCCACAGCTCCCAGTGGCCACGATTCGCCATTTCCGGCCAATGGGAGCTGCGGAAGTGGCTCAGGCTGCAGGAACGTGCTGGATGCTGCAAGGAGGAACTGCGTAAATGGCGGGTTGGCAGGGACCTATATACACCGCCACAAAGGCACCGCTCGGGGAAAAACTTGCGACAATCGTGCACACAGCGCGTGCACACAGCTATTAGAATGGACATGAGCAACACATCTCGAAGAACAACAGTTATGAAAGGTAGGTAACAGTTTTTTCTCCATTTATTTGTTTCAGATTTGCTCCCTTTCAATTTCAGCATTCAACAATAGAGCAACTACATAAAGGTCTTCTAAAGTAGTACTGATATAATCCAGCCATTTCTGTTTGTCTTCATCACCTCTCACCTTGGCTATTGCAATTCCATTTTCGGTCCTCTCCCAAAAGGCTTAGGCCAGGGGTGGCCAATCTGAGCCTGAGAAGGAGCCAGAATTTATCAATGTACATTGCCAAAGAGCAACAGTAATACGTCAGCAGGCCCTCATCAGCCCCGCTTCCAGCGCCTCCCACCCACCGGCAGCCCCGCAGATCAGCGCCTCTCCCTCCCTACCTCCCCACCCCACACCTCCTGATCAGCTATTTTGTGGCATGTAGGAGGTTCTGGGGGGGAGAGGGAGGAGCGAGGGCACGGCAGGCTCAGGGGAGGGTATGGGAAGGGATGGAGTCGGGGCAGTGCCTGTGGCAGAGGCAGGGGTTGAGCAGTGAGCACCCCCTGGCACATTGGAAAGTTGGCGCCTGTAGTTCCAGCCCTGGAGTCCGTGCCTATACAAGGTGCCGCATATTAACTTCTGAAGAGCTGCATATGGCTCCGGAGGCACAGGTTGGCCACCCCTGGCTTAGGCCTTCAGACCCCAGCATGTGCAGATGCTGCTGGCTGCTTTGTCACAAGTACAAAGAAGTGCATCCCCATGCCCAAACAGTTATACTGGATCCTTGTTCATTCCAAGGTCCCAGATAAATTTGGCTTTCTCTTTTTTTAAATAAACCTTTTTCCCCCTGTATCTCTGCATTGACTGTAACTGACCTCCTGGGCCTTGTGTCTCTCTACTTCCATTCCAGTTCACTTCACTTATCTGACCACTCCTTTGGCTACTTAATACAGTTTTGTCGTTGTGAAATCCTTCTTCTTAGCAGCTGCTTTTGTCTTGAACAGCCTTCCGCTATCTCTGCATCTTTGTTATCAAGTCACAAAGGAAAACCTCTTATATCCTTTACCTGTGTCTCTTAAATTATCTCTATAGTGTATTATTCAGGTCTATAATTCATTATATTGAACTCTTAAAAAGTTTTGGGTTATTGTTTATTTAAAAGATGCTTTACAAAATAAAGTTGCATTATATATTTTGCCTCTTAACTGTATCTGTCCTGAGTAAATATTTGTGCCCTGTGCACTTAAAATTAGTGTCTTTCATATGAAGGAATTCATGTTATTAACTTCTAATTGTCACACAGTTTTTAAGGCTCTTAGATGAGTAATTAAAGGAATTTGAACAAATCAGCACTTTTCAGGATGCCTGTATATATGTATATACACATTGTACCCCTCAACTGCATTGCTTTTAGGGCTTCTTTATGGCCGTGTTCCACTGTGATACATTTCTCCATTTCATTATGAAAGTGTATTAAAATCAGCTTGTCTAGGTTGCTTATCTCCATTCTCTTGGGGGATATTGGGGTGAAGGGTTGTGGCATAAGAAGTCCTCTAGAGCCATAAACAGTGGAGACAAGCGTATTTCAATGCACCAGAATCAGTTCTGGTATTCTGTGCTTTGGACTGTGAAGGGAAGTGTAGCTGGGGGTCCAGCATATAAACAGCCTGCTAGGAAGCTATGCATACTTTAAGAGTATTAAAATGTTAGTCTTAGACTCTCCTGCTGCAGTTGGAGAGCCCAAGTGAGGAGAGGACGTAGTTGGGGAGGAGGAGAGAGAAAACCCCTAGGACAGGAGTCAGAGAGGAGCTAAAGACAGCGCCGGTGGTTGATGGCCAGTAGATCAAGCTTCCCTAATCTCCTGAAATGGAGGGCCCTGTGATAGGATAATGGGGAAGGAATGGGGGAGAACAGGGGAAGGAAAAATGCACTGGTCACATTGATAACAACCTTCTCTGTTCTGTTTGTCTCAGACATTTATATAAATAACAATTGTGCGGTCACAGCACCATTTAGCATGAATAGAATTTCAACCAGGACTGGCTGGGCTCAATTTTGTAATAAGCAATAAACTTGGTAGGGTCAGTGCCTCTGTGTCCAATGTTTTGGGAATCTCTGCCCCATATTACAGCATGGCAAGGTTGAAAGATATGTTAATACATGAAAACCTTCAATCTAAATGGATTGAAAAGATCGGTTTGAAACTCCATATGATTTATGCTTGGGTTTTTTTTATTTGTATTTTAGGTATTAGAAGACAATGACTATGGTCGTGCAGTGGACTGGTGGGGCCTGGGAGTTGTCATGTATGAAATGATGTGTGGGAGATTACCATTCTACAACCAGGATCATGAGAAACTGTTTGAACTAATACTAATGGAGGACATAAAATTCCCTCGAACTCTCTCGTCAGATGCGAAGTCATTACTTTCGGGTCTCTTGATAAAAGATCCAAATAAACGGTGAGTGTAAAAGAACTCTGAGATATAAATCTTAACTTCATTAAATTAGAAAAATGAAATTAACGTAATGAATAAGACAAAATTGTCTAGGCTAATGCTATCCTGGGCAGGTCGTGGGGGGTGGGAGGTATAGAGAGAGAGAGAATGCATAACCACTGAGTGAGCTGCCATGATAGGGAGAGTTTGGCTACAGGGGGAAGAGTCCCAAGGATTTAACAATTAGATAGTCACCCATTCTCCTAGAAAAGCAACTGACCGAATAAAGAAAAGCCAGTACACTTTACAAACATACCATAAATTTAGTCTAAATAAAAAAGTCCCCAGGGTAAAAATGCAGGCAAGAAGACGAGTAGCAGGGTGCAGGCTACCCAGTTTATTGCACTGAGTGCAACGTGTATGATAACTTGCCTCATAGGCAGGTGGCATATGTGCATGTGTGGTGCAAGCAACTCATGGCCCTCAGGAACAGAGTACGGGCTCCTGAGGCCAGAGTGGCTGAACTGGAGGAGCGAAAGGAGACAGAGAGGTGCATAGAGGAGACTTTTAGGGATGTAGTAGAGCGGTCTCTCCTTCTGTCTGACCATCCCTGTTCTGTTAATGAGGACAAAAGTCTTGGGGCAGGAAAGCATCAAACTTGAGCAGAGGGAAACAATCCCATTGTTGGGACCCACCTTTGAGAGCATGTCATGATATCCTCTCACACTGAGGATATTCCTCCGGGGGCAGAGACTCCAATTACTGGGAATAGACAGGCAATAGTAGTGAGGGTTTCAGTTATTAGAAATATAGGTAGTTGGGTATGTAATGAGTGGGAGAACTGCATGGTGAATTGTCTGCTGGGTGCGAAGGTAACTGATTTCACAAGACATCTAGGTAAACATACAGGTGGTGCTGGGGTGGAGCCAGTGCTTGTGGTACATGTAGGTACTAATGACACAGTGAAAAGTAGGAGAGAGGTCCTTGAGGCTCAATTTAGGCTGCTAGGTAAGAGATTAAAGTTCAGGACATCCGTGGCAGCATTCTCTGCAGTTCTTCCAGTTCCACATGCAGGGCCAGTAGGACAGGCTGAACTGCATGATCTCAGTGCATGGATAAAACAACGGTGTGGGGAGGAGGGATTTAAGTGTATTAGGAACTGGGGAACCTTCTGGGGAAGGACTAGGTTTTAAAGGAGGGATGGGCTCCACTTAAATCAAAATGGAAATCACTGCTGGCATGTAAAATTAAAAAGGATTGTAGAGGATTTTTTAAACTAAGGGCTGGCAGGTGTGAAGGAGCACATGATTTGGGCAGAGAGATCCCTTAGGGTTGAATTTTTAAAGGGGGAACGCTATAGCCTAGGAAAGAGAATAGTGAAGGAGTTGGTAAAGTACAGGTAGGAGCTAGTGAGGAACAGTCAAATGAAACAGAGTCCCGTTTAAAAATAACACATGATGGCAAGCAACTGAATATTGACTAAATGTACAAGTGCTTATATGTATGTTAGAAGTCTAAATACTTAGACGGATGAACTAGAGTGCCCGGCATTAAATGAGGCTTTGATACAACAGCATCATGGAAATTTGGTGAATGAGAATAATCAATGGGGCACAGAAATACCAGGGCCTAAAATATATAGGAGTGAACAGAGTAGATCACGCTGGTCGGGGGAGTGGTACTATATGTGAAAGAAAGCATAGAGTCAAATAAGGTAAAAATCTTAAATGAAACAATGTGTACCATAGAAAAGCTCTATGGATAGAAATCTCATTCTTGAATAATAAGAGTATAGCAATAGGAATACACTACTGACCACAGTGGTGACGATTTTGAAATGCTAAGAGAGGTTAGAGAGGCTACAAAAGCAGAAAGTGCGGTAATAATGGGTGATTTCAACTATCCTCTTATTGACTACCCAGTCCCTTTGCATGATGCAGAGAGAAAATTTCTAGACACTACAAATGACTGCTTTTTGGAGCAGCTAGTCCTGGAACCCATGAGGGGAGAGGCAATACTTGATTTAGTCTTAAGTGGAGCCCAGGTCCAAGAGGTAACCATAGCTGAACCTGTAGGTAGTAGTTCCCATAATCTAATTACATTTATCATCCTTGTAGCAGTGAAAATACCAAAAAAGCCACCATGGTAACATTTAACTTTAAAAGGGGAACTACACAAAAATGAGGACTCGTTAGATGGAAATTAAAAGGAGCTGTCATAAAGGTTAAATTCCTATAAACAGCATGGGGAGTGTTTAAAAACACCGTAATAGAGACTAAGACAAAGTGTATGCCCCAAATCAAAAAAGACAATAAGAGGACCAAAAGAATGCCACCATGGCTAAACAGTAGAGTAATGGTGCCCATTAGAGGCAAAGAGGGTTCCTTCTAAATTTGGAAGTCAAAACCTAGTGAGGATAATTGAAAGGAGTACAAACTCTGGCAAGTTAAGTATAAAAGTATTAACATCATAGGCCAAGAAAGAATTTGAGGAGCAGCTTGCTAAAGATGCACAAATTAATGGTAAGAGTTTTTTAAAGTACATCAGAAGCATGAAGTCTGACAAGCAGTCAGTGGTGCCACTAGGCGACAAAGGTGCTAAAGGAGCACTCAAAGAAGACAAGGCCGTTGCAGAGAAGCTAAATGAATTCTTTGCATCGGTGTTCACTGCAAAGAATGTGGGGGAACTATCCACATCAGTGCTATTCTTTTTGGGAGACAAATCTGAAGTACTGTCCCACATTGATGTGTCAACAAGAAGAGGTTTTGGAACAAATTGAGAAATTAAACCGTTATAAGTCACCAGGACCAGATGGTATTCACCCAAGAGTGCTCAAATACTAAATTGCAGAACTACTAACTACAACTAACTGTTACTAACTGTAGTATGTAACCTATTGCTGAAACAAGCCTGTCTATCCAATAACTGGAACTAATGTAATACCAATTTTTAAAGAGGGTTCCAGTGGTGATCCTGGCAATTATTAACCAGTCTGTTAGAATTTGTTGAAGGGGGTCAACAGTCATGTGGATAAAGGTGATCCTTTACTACAATATACAATATAGTGTATTTGGATTTTTCAGAAAGCCTTTGACAAGATCTGTCACAAAAGGCTCTTAAGGAAACAAATCATGGGATAACAGGAAAGATCCTCTCATGGATCCTAACTGGTTAAACTAAAGGAAACAGAGGGTAGGAATAAATGATCAGTTTTCAGAATGGAGAGGTAAACAGCAAGGTCCCTCAAGGATCTGTATTGGGATCTGCATTGTTAGCATATTCATGGATGATTGATCTGAAAAAGGGAATGAACATATTCAAGATAGTTAAGTCCAAAACTGACTGCAAACAGTTATAAAGGGATCTCAGAAAACTGGGTGGCTGGGGAACAAAATAGCAGATGAAATTCAACATTGATTAGCATAAGGTAATGCACATTGGAAAATATAATCCCAACTTCACTTGTATAATAATAAATTATGTATAAATGTATACATATGTATTAATTAGCTGTTACTACACCTCTACCCCGATATAACACGGTCTCACCTATAAGATGGTAAGATTTTTTGGTTCCCGAGGACCGCGTTATATCTGGGTAGGGAGAGGAACCGCTCCCTGCCCCAGCTCACCTCCGCTCTGCCTCCGTCTCCACCTCCTCCCATGAGTGCGCCACCGCTCCGCTTCTCCCTCCCTTCCAGGCTTGCCACACCAATCAGCTGTTTGGTGCAGGGGCGTGGGGATGGGAGGAGAAGCGGGAGCAGCGGCAGCGTGCTCAGGGGAGGAGGCGAAGGCAGAGTGGAGGTGAGCTGGGGCTGGGAGCAGTTCCTGTGCCCCCCCACCCCGCCCCAGCTCACCTCCGCTCTGCCTCCTCCCACAAGTGCGCCACAGCTCCACAGCCTGGGAGGGGGAGAAGCGGAGCTGCGGTGTGCTCATGGGAGGAGGCGGAGGCGAGCTGGGGCGGAGGGGCACAGCAAGTAAGGGCGGGGGCTCAGAGGAACCGCTTGTGGTAACACGAATTCGGATAAAGATAGATTTTTTTCCCTTATGTGCAAGATAGATGGGTGCACTTGGTAGTGCAAAATTCTTAAACATTAATCTGCCCCACCAGAAAGTAGTGCTCATGTGTATACTGTTTTGAGCTTTTTATTTATGTGTGTGCACATATAAAGGATACAACTTTGATAAATCGTAGATACCCCCAAAGAAACACAAAACAAGTGATAAGGGATTGGGGAACATGTCTTATTCGGAGAGGTTTGGAAATGTAGTTAGTACATTTAGTTAAAAGAAGCCACAAAGGAAGACTCTATTAATACTTGAGCAGCGTAAAAATAGAATGGAAAGGGAAATATCTTTAATTTATTGTTAATGGTGATCATATGAATGAGTAATGGACTGACCTAGAAAAAAATAGGTTAGAGTTCAGAAGTATTTATTTTGCCTCAGGATAGCCATGTGTGGGATCTACTTGAGGTTATCATTTTGAGCTCTTAAGGCTTGTGTGGATAGGTTTACACTATTGTTAGCCTTGCCCAAAGCAAAAGAAAATCTAGTTTGGATTGGAGGATGATTGCATTTTAATTTGTCAATTATCTGCTGATAAATTATCACACACACATTAAATTAATTCTTACTCATTTGCTCCCACCCCTTTCTAAATTTAATAACAAAAGAAATTGCACACTAGCTGAAACTTCAGATTTGATTCTGTGTCTTCAAAGATTTATAGATACAGCAGCAGAATAACCAGAAGGAATTTTTAAACTAAAGGCCCAGGCAAAATACTACTACCATTATGTTATCCAAGTGGTAGGGACAGTTTTAGCTTATTGCAGTCATGGAAGGGAATTGGAGAGACCTTGTTCTACTTAGAAGAAAACAATAGATACAAAGACAGTAAAAAGAGTAGAGCCAAATAAATAGCCAAAGTCATAATTATATGAGGCCTATGTCTGAAATGTTAATGGAGGGCTACTTTGATAGCTTAAGCATTCTTCCAGTTGCTGATGTGGGCAAGCTAT